GGATTTGTTAGGTAAAGTGGCCACCTTATATGTATCTAACCTGCGTGTTTAGCAGTTTGTTCAGCTTTACCTTGTCTTTATTTTTTAGCTGCAGCCAATAGTTATCTTCTAAATATATTGTCAACAATCATTTTCCCTACAATCCTTGGTTTATATAGTTGAAATGAAGATTTTTTACAACACTTAATGGGATTTCTATTTAAAACAAATGTTCCATTTGTAATTTGAATTAGCAGGTATAGGATTGATTGGAACTGCTTTATTTTTGGGGCCAAATATGAAGTGGTCTTTGGACAAGGTATTATTCCGTGTGTGATGGGATAGCAGGGCTCATCACAAGCACAGAATCGAGGCATTCTTTTCACTCTTCACAGAGTGAGGGGGCTGGTACATAGTCCCAGCTGTCCAAAAAATAGCAGGACAATTCTTTTTTTTACCTGTTCCTCCAGGTTTAGGTGAAGTTTGGTGGTCGGGGGAGAGGCCAAAAAATATCTACTTTAACAGTGCACTTCAAAGTCTGCCCAGATTCCTGACCTCAGGCCACAAGGAAGATGTCCTCCATGGTTCAAACACATTCTCAAACAACCAGCCAGTTGGTGCTTTATAGGGAAGGCGACATTTTTATTCAGTTCCGCTGTTGGCACAAAACTGTATAAAATGGTAACACCATGTGAACTGCCTATATAAAGGGTTTCACTGTCTTGGGCTCCTATCCAGCAAATTGGTTTCTTGATGCAATAATAAACAAATGTAAAATCTGATAGTACAATCTGCTTTAAATGTACCCACAACTATATAGTGTGTGGGCAGGCCTGATTAGTTAATTAATTAAATGGTATGTTTAGGTAGTCATTAGCTGCTACTTTTGTCTTCAATGATCCCTGTATGTGTGTTGTAAAGTAGTCACCGCTCCAAGTTCACTCCTGTGATGGACTACAATCTCAATACAAATGAGTAAAATAAACATGAGATTGTAGTCCATCATGGAAGCAAGCTTGGAGCAGTGGCTACTTTAAAACAAACACAGGGACCATGGGGGAACAAAAGTAGCCACCTTCCAGAAGGATCAGCATCCATTCAGAGATGATTTGAGGATCTACAGCCGAGTGATACATATGGCATGCTGTGTTGCAGATCCATTAACTACATTGTAGTGCATTGTCAGACCATATACAATGAATGGGCTGCCTTACACACACGTTAACATGCCTACGGTTATGCACTGCAATGCTTCAGAACAGTCTGAAGGAGACCTAATAGAAATTGATGAGTGCAGTTGCCATTTGCTTCACCAATTTCTAACTAGCTTTTAAAGTAAGGTGCACATGGAAGGACACTGTCTCACAACTTGTGCTAAAAACAGAGGTTTTAGGTGCACAACTTTTGCAAAATATGTGGAAGCCACACTGCCTCGTCAAGGCCTTGTGTATAGTGTGGTCCTCACTCTAATCTAGGAGAGCCTCCATATTGGAGCATATAAAGCAAAGGATCAATTGGGTGCAGGTATGCCAGAAGACATCCCATCCCTCCAGGCATACCTGCACCCAACTTGCCCATTGCTATATATGCTCCAAGATGGAGGAGCTCAATGTGTTAAGTTAGATTAGGCTCTCATAGCTAGCTGGTAAGTGTGCTGGGAATTTTTTTTGTGTTTGAGGGTCATTACTGAGTCTCAATTTCTATAAGCTACCCATGATCTTTTGATTCCAGGTTGCCGGGTCTTTGAATTCCCAAGCCGGCCTGCTGACTGTGCCATACAGCAATATACTATACTAGCCATCTATAAGGAATCGCCCGGTTTTGTGTTCATAGCAGGTGACCAGTATTCATTGTGGTGCTATACAAAACCCAGCAATCATTGCACATATCTCCACATTTTTCTGCACAAACTCAATGACACCAACGTGACACACGGAGCCGACACTATGTATAATGAGGTAATTTTTATTGCAGCTGTTACAAAATAAATCAGTATTTCTTTCTTAGACATCTGATCTCCACCCCAGCCTGTTGTGGGCAGACTGGTGATAAAAAGTTTTAAAAAAAAAACAAAACGTGAATTGTACACACACACGCGCGCGCGCACACACTCACTCACTCACATTAACCCTTTCACTGCCAGAGCGTGGGTCCTGCTTCAAGCAGATGGAGGACGCACACCGGGAGTTGACAGCGGGTCGCCTCGGTGAGAAGTTTTGGGGTTCGCTAACACAGATTCTGTTTTATATTGATTACGCCATCCTTTTGTCCCCTATCATTCTTTTTTTACATGAAATATAAATTACAGGTTGGGTTACATAAAAGAGCTTTTAGTAACAGATGTGTGTCTGGAGGATTTTAGAACAGATAATGTTTGGATATGTAGCAGGATCAAGTGGATAGAATAATGGATTTGAGCTCACTGTAAAATACCACTAATGGGCCGTGGTAAAAAAAAAACGGGCCAGCTAAAGGCCAAATTTATCATTTTAGTGTGTAAGGACCAAAGAACTCCTCCACCTAATTGTATATCAAGCAGGCACAGTATACTATATGATTGACTGCTCACCCTATAACTCCTAATCATTTCCACTGTGTCAGAACAATCTTGAAGTTTGGTGTTCATTATATGGGTTGTCTGGTGTGACCAAGTCTCTCTACCTGGCTCCTAAGGACTTTGTATAATATAATTATGTGTATGGACATTCTAAAGTGATTAATTTAAAACTTTAAAAAATGCCTCCCTGTAAAGAATAGACTTAGTGCAGCGAAGATTAATGGTGCAGGCAAGGGGACAGGTCAGTTCTGTCTCCCTGCCTGCACCACTAATCTTCGCTGTACTGAAGAGCTAAACCTTACTTAGGAACCTTCAGCAGCTGAGACTTACAGGAGTGGTGGGTGCCACTGAGCTCTGTTTTTCCATCTACTAGCCCCTATGTCAATGTACAATACGGTAGTACGGGCCAGCAGATCCAACCACAATACTCACTGAGGGAGCCCAGGCATCCATGATACCCGAAAGTGTAACCACAGCCATTATAGCTCTTCAACAAAAGTAGGTCTCGCGCTGTGTGTGGTGGGACATATGTGTGTTAAGTCTTTTCTTTACAGGGTGGCATTTTGTTAATTTTTTTAATTCGAGCAATAAGGTAATTTTAATGTGAACCTGTGCTACATCAAAGCAACTGTTTCACTTATATGCCTCCCCAGCATCTCACACTCACCGTTCAGTCACTCCCTGCTGCTCCGTTTGCCCTAGAAACAAGTTCAAGCTTACACAGAGCTTAAGCCATTCTGGTTGGAGCTTACACAGGGATAGGCTCTCTCTCCTCGTCCCCATATGATAAATACTGGGGCCTGACAACTGCCACCCACACTACATCATAGAAGGAAGGGGAGAGTCACATGCTCCCCCATGGAAGTAGAAGGTAGGTGGCCAAATGGAGGAGTGGGAAAAGCACTGGAAATGTGTTGATTAGGAGGGTGACAGTCCAAGTGTATGTAAACCCTAAAAATTGACTTCTCTTATTTGCTCCCTTTAGTTCTACTAAATAAGCATTTGAAAGTGTTTTGTTATAGCTATTTGCAAAATCAACAGTTGTGGAATCTTGAAAGCTTCCTGTACTCAATGTCTAGGTACAAGGAGGGGCTTATTGAGATGAGTGGGGAGGAGGGAGGTCTGTGTTCTATTAAACCCATCTGAAATAAAGTAGGCAGGGCTGACTTGAGGAATTCAGAACTGTGTTGTCATGTTAAAGGGGACGTTAGGAGCACATAATGTTTTTGGCACATCATTAGTTATTTTTGTGTACATGCATCAAATGTAATGGGATAAAACATGGGGAAATCTGCATACATTTCAAAGATGTACCAATATCTTTTTTGCTTTGCCTTGCCAAATGCTGTTGCTTTGAACCTGCATGGGTAACTGGAAGTCTTCTGTAGCCTGGACAGGCAACATTCACACCGCTATTTCTATATTAAGGGTCAGCAATATACTAATGTGTGTGTATATATATATTAGGAATGCACCGATACCGAGTATTTGGGTGAGTACTTGTACTCGCCCAAATTCTCCGATGTCTAGCCCGATACTTCCTGTGTCAGGAAGCCGGGCAGTGTGTAATGATTTGTGACGAGAGAGCATGGAGCCGGCTTGTGTGTAATGATGCCCTGCCCGGCTTCCTGATTGGTCGGGAAGCTGGCTTCATGCTCCCTCATCACCTCATAACGTGGGAGAATGGAGCGTGCTTCCTAGCCAAACAGGAAGCCGGGCACAGCATCATTACACGGCGCTCGGCTTCCATGATTGGCCAGCAAGCCGGCTCCATGCTTTCTCGTCACATAGTGACGAGAAGCACGGGGACGACTTCCTTGCTCATCGGGAAGCCAGGTGGCGAGTCTTTAAACGCTTCCTGGCTATTCAGGAAGCCAGGTGGCGAGTCATTACACGCCGCCTGACTTCCTGAATGGGACTTCCGGTACTCGGTATCGGCGAGTATCAGAAAAAAAATATTGGTACTCGTACTCGGTACCGAAATATCGGTATTGGTGCATCCCTAATTTTATAGATATAGATATAGATATATATATCTATATCTATATATATACACACTGAGTGGCCAGATTATTATGACCACCCCATCAGTACTTCGTTGGGCAAAGAGATAACTCCACGAGATGACTTCGTTGGGTATAGTCCCTCCTTGTCCTCTGTATTGTCATCTATGTTGTATGTTGTCACTTTGTTCACAATTCTGTCTCTACCCTGTCTCCGATATCTTCTGTTTCCCCAGCCCACTCCTCTTTTAGAATATCCCACATCTGATTCCTTTTCCTATGCCCTTGTATAACCATCCTCATAGGCAACAGGCCAGGACAAGCACATACAAATTCTGGGGAGACCCTTCATGACTTCCTTCCGGCCCCAGCAACTTGTGCACTGTTTTGGTGAACATTCAATAATTCTTAAACAGTCTTCAGATACCAGATGCACTCCCCAACCCCCTTCCCCACCCCAAGCAATGTTCTGCAGGATGCGACCCCATCTGCATGTCCTATTCACATTTCAAGAAAATCCTTATAGGCCAAGCGGGCAAATCTAATAAATGGCAGTAAGAAGATGAGATCTCCACAGCCGCGGGTAGGTTCCTCCGTTGTGCCTGACAACCGGCGTTCAGCCCTTGGAAGGGTGATAGCAGCTTCGATTCCACAGAGGCCCCCACAGAATGACCGCTAGGAGATTTGCTGGACCCCGTCACACGGTGCCGCCATTTGAGACAGGAACCTGAATTCCTTTCTGTCCACTGGCTAGAAGAGGAGACACAAAGAGAGAGGGTTAAACCCTGAAAACTCACCCAATTTTCAGAAAACAAAAAGTTAATTGCTTAAAGAATGGGGAAGAATACATTATGGCCACATAAATAAGCCTAAAATAACTGTTTACAACCAATCGGTTTGTCCGTTTAATGCTTCTAGGTCTAAAACACAAGATCATAACTGGCAAGTAGCAGAGACAAAACTTCCTTCTTCATTTAAAGGTTGTAAAAAAAATTGTTAAGGAGTTAAAGAAAGAAGACATTGTTCTTCTTTCAGACAATGACAGATGATGCAACATTTCCCCGAAAAATGGAAAAACTTCCTGTCCTACTGACAATGGTACACTTTCCCTTCTTTAGGACGGTACAACTGCCAGTTAGAAGCAAAGATTTCTTTTCAACCTATGATTTTACAGGGCGACTGAAAAGCTCTCTCCTCACCTAATCTGTATTTATCTTTGGCCTCTGATCGTTCTTTTGCATCGAAATACCAGACAGTAATTGCATACCTGCGGAAGGAGAAGAAAAGCATGCGTGTCAATATACACACAGGCACAAAATGTCACCTATTGCTGCTTAGTCCTTAGATATGGCGGTTGGATTTGTTTTTCTTTATTTTCACCTGGTGATCCAGCCAGTAAAACAGTTCCTATTCTAGGGTGACAACGCTCACTCACTACCCTGTAACAATGGAGGGAGGATAAGCGTTGTCACCCTAGGCTGCTCTCCTGATTTGGACTACAAACCTTCCCCTCTTCTCATCTAGGTAACAGAGAAGAGGTGTTCTCTAATTCACAAAAAATTGTGGTTTACAATTTCAATTCAGTACACATGAAGTTACAAGGACACAGGATTTCTATTAAGATCAATTTTCTGTATTCTTCTGTACATGCAAAAAAATTTACTTAGCCTATTAAAAAAAAACAATGCAGCTACTACATCTAAGGACTGCAATATATCACATCGTTGTTTTTGGGTTTAGATATACTTTACCGTGTGTTCTTTGTACCTTTTTTATAGTTTGGGACATAATGGGGAAGGGTTAGACCCTCTGCCAAGTTTTACTGCTGTTTGTCTCCCCATTTGGAAGATTCACCCCTCTATTTGTACCAGTGACCATTGTCATCTAGAACAAAAGTGAGGGGAAATTAAAATTTTTAGATTCGTCCCCAGAACAAGAGGGGAGTGGAAATCTTCCAATGGAAATGCTAGTTCTGGAGGCAACTGTCTAAGAGAGAAAATCCCTTAATTTTGGGAGATTTCCTGTAACTTTCTTTTGTGTCTCTAGGACAGGAAGTGAAGGGAAATGTCCCCAATGGTACAAAAACTGCAAAAAAAAAAAAGCTATAGCTCTATGCAAGCATGACTACAGACACATACTGTACTATAGGTACACATTATATATATATATATATCTATATATATATAGATATATATATATATATATCTATATATATATAGATATATATATATATATATCTATATATATATAGATATATATATATATATATCTATATATATATAGATATATATATATATATATCTATATATATATAGATATAAATATATATATATATGTAGAGATACTCACCGCATGGCATAGGCTGGTTTTACTTCATGAGGATTCCGCCGATCAGACCAGAATATCAATAGACGGTCAAACATTGGCTCAATATTGGCTACAACTGATCGGCCTTCTGGGAAGATTTGTAGAAGCCCCCCATGAACCTAAAAAGGGAAAGAGGAAAATGTGACTTGGTCAGTCTTTATTTTAACTAGCAATCTATTTTTACAGGGAATGCACACTGGTGAGTGGTGGCCAAACCTCTGCATCTGGATATACTTGCTGTGGGTCATTTTATCTTATTCTCATTGTGAATGTAATCCCAATACACACTGCTGTATTTAACTCCATTTGGTGAAGCTTAGACACGGTAGTCTGTTTACAATGCTGATTAAAGGAAACCTACCTATCATGAGCCAAGTATGTAGGCTGACCTACTTTTGAAAATGTTAGCTGTCTGGCTGCTATGGTGGGTCTTGATACCTTTGAAGTCACTGACCCACTGACCCATAACAAGTACGCACAAACTATGTCATGCCTGAAGTGCCTACTTATCCTGAATAAGTGCCCTTATACTTTTTGCCCCCTCCTCTGTGCAGTAAAGACCCATAGAGTTATATAAGGTTCATCTACCTCCCTGTCCCGGGTGGTTGACAAGCCCATAGACATCTGTGCCAGCAGTGATACTACTTTGGCATGGGATGAAAATGAATGCAGGTAGGATACGGTTGCCAGATAGTAAGTAGGAACCTAGGGAGGGGGAAGAGTATGCAAAAAGAATAAGTGCACTTTTGAAGAATAGGAGCACTTTCAGGCAAACGATAAGTTGCACTCAAAGTACAAAAGTAATATTTTAAAATGGTGTTTCACTTGTCTTCTCTGTAACATGCTGATCATCGTCATCAAATAATTAACATTACTTATTTACCAATGCAAAGCAACCTGTAACCCAGTAATGCCACTAGTTAGACTTTATGCTCCCAGGTCTACTTTGACTTACTGGTTGCTTTGTTTTATTGCACGCCAAAGCTGAGTATTCATGGTGAGAATTGTTTTCAGAATGTTCGTTTGATCTTCTTACAGTTAATGGAATCAAAGTGACGAATGATTTCAACCATAGTGGCGAAAAGAATCGAGGGAGTAGGATGGAACATTCTTATAGAGAATGTAATTTTCATTGGGGAACGTTCGTTCGTATGAACGTTTGTACAAAAAAACTACCACTGTATCAATGCTGTGTATACAACTTTGCTGAAAATATAGATGGTCTACAGAACAAAACATACAGCTTTTCTAAAAATGTTTATTTCATCATTTTCCACTTATGAAGCTCTATGTAGGGCAGGATCAGCTTGTTGCCAATTAGTGCCTTACGTCATATAAAACAGCTACTGCGATCATCTGCAGGAATGAGCCAACAGGAATCGTCCTACATTCAAGTACTTTTGTTTAGGTTGCTATGTAGCTGTTGTCAGATAACAATAATGAGCAAAACTTGAGATCATGTTTTTAGAATTGTGTTGGATACACTGGGAACAGTTTAACAAGGCATTTGTGACATATTTCTGTAGGTAGTCAAAATCCTTGCACCAAGTCCATGAAAACCCTATTACATTTGTACTGTTAGCATCACGGCGTGTGACAAATTCAAGTAGTACTTATTTGCTATGATGCTATTGTTGCGACAGAGATCAGGATGGTGATCAGGAATACGAAGGAAAGTAAGAGCTCTTCCATGTTGGAGTAAATTGTTAGTTATACTTTGTCTTCAAGTTTCTCTGGAACTGATATTTGATACAATTCTTATTCTATATTACTCTCCCAACTTCTCCAATTTGCTTCTCTGTCTAAAACTCCACCACTTTGCAGAAGAGATGTTTGCAACAGTTCGGTCAGAGTTGCGACAGGTTCACATTCTTCTTACTGACATGTACAAGAATCTGTTGCAAGTTCCACCATTTGTTGCACTACAGCGAGACAGATTTCCCTGAATTCTAGTGACTGTGCTCTAATATCAGATCTCCTGATAATATCTCCTGATAATATCAGTTCTCCTGTGTTGATTTGGTTCCACAACATCCCAAATACTGCTCTAGTTTTTTCAGTAAGCAATGTAAACATACGAGCTACTTCAGAGGTCATATCACTTTTGCTCTAAATTCCATTCATGCCTTAACCAAGTTAATATTTAGCAACTGACTTAAACTGACCATTTTGGCAGCTACACACTATTTATAGAGATTAGAATTCAATTTGCATGGCCATCTGAGCTTAGTTCTCAAAACAATAAATGGAACTGTATTGTACTACATTGGCCAGCTAAAGTGGACCCTTATTGAGACACGATTCGTGTGATGTTTAGTTAGTCAATGACCCTGTATAAGCATTATTAAGCCCTACCTTTGTGTCCCAGTTTTGATTTAGGTAGTATATGCAAGTTAAGCAGCGTCCATCTCTGTTTGGGTTGTCCACGTGCCGTACATATCCCATCCCATTCCCAGGGTAACAAGCCACCATTGCCTAGAAGACAAAAACAAAGACCATTAATATATAGTGTGTTTACTTACTGTACTGAAATACTTTTATTACTATTAGTCACGAATATACTAGATGTGTAAAACTTGACACATTCCAAAATACACAAAGAATGAAAAATACATATACAAAAATTATATACGGAAGAGAAGGAACCTAATCAAAGGAGTTAGCAGGAAGTATCAGAGAAAAGGAAAGAGAACATTGTGCATATGTTGTATTCTAGCACTAGTATTGGTGTAACAATTCAACTGCTTATGTGTCTTGGGGTAATAATGGTTAGGTTCAAGCATAGGATTAAGAAGTTAGGTTGGGTTTAGAGCAGGATGGACAGATACCAGGAGCCATGTAGCCAATAAGCCTGAAAGTACACAGCTGGTGCCTACCATTTGAGGTTCTCTACCTGTTGTCAATAAAGCCGACTCCTATAAAAAACAAAAAACAATTCTACTGGCTCCTGGATTGGACAGACTGGTCCTGAATTCCATATAAACTGGTGCACCCTTGGTCTAGTGGTAGGCTAATGTCAGCTGCACAAACTCACCTTACCTTCGCTCTCCTGGAGCTTTGTTCAACCACAGAACCACACTACTGGGTCCCAAAGTGGTCCATCTCTAAGCACCATCACTCTCATGGGGAGGGGGAGAAATGCTGTTTTGTTTTTCTTTTGGTCCCAGCATCTGAATGGAGTGGTGATGGAGCAAAAGGCAAATTTGTGCTATTGGTTGGGCTAAATTTAAACTGAACCTATGGCTGTTGCATGGGTAAAACACAAGTTCATTTTAAGGATTGGGGCTACGTTTAGGGGCTTAGCCAAAGGTTTCCCTGGTATTGGTTTTTAGGTGTGAGAAATTATTTAGGTGTGGATCACAAAGTCCAGCTAAAGTGGTTGACAAATGTGCTGTAGTTTTACGCTGAAAAAGGAAACCAGAAACCATATTTAAAAAAAACAATTGAAGAATAGTGTAAGGCGGATGTCTTTTTTTTTTAAGTGATGTACTATATTCAGATCTGGTTCTATAAAGTCTCCTCTGCAATATTCACCCTCTGCTCCAGTAATTCTTGCTCTAAGGTAGAGCTGTACCAAAATCCCACTAAGTGTGTACAAATATACAATGAAATACAATCTTGGACAGAAAGAGAAATTCCTGGTAAGGTTAGAATATTTTCTATTTAATCCAATCAAAATGTGTGTTGGATTGTGGGTACACACTATAAACTACTGGACAATCAAACCATAGAAAAATCAGGTTGCAAAGAATCATGTGTGGCTGGCATTAATCATACATGGTGGAGGGATTGCTATGTAAAGGGTTTTTCTATTATGCTAATTTAGACACTTTCACAGCCTGTAAAGCCCTCTTCCCAGCTTCATGTTTTCGTGACGGCTATAAGATGAAATTGTCCTAATCTCTCCTAACTCTGACTCCACCTGCGTCACCACTTTAGGAGCCCTCACCATATCCTGTAGATAAATCACCCCTCCGTCAGGGCCACTGCATTCTTGGAGGCCATTCTTAAAGGGGCAATGCCAATGAGCAAAAGAGGAAAGAGGATTATTTTAGCTCCCGATTCATTGTACTCAGTCATACAGTAAAAACAAATGCTGCTGCTTTACAGAGCATAAAGAACCATTCACATCATCCTTATCAAGGTATTATGCATTCTAGGGCCGGTTTTGTCAAAAGACAAGCTTTCAGTTTTTGGATCATACAGTAAAAAGAGGGTAATGCATATAAGTATTAATGATCTTCAGAGCGTAAAATAAGCATTGCTTTTCGGTAGGGCTGGTAATGATTAAAATTCTCGTGTTCGATTAATCGAAATTCTTTTAAAATCGATTAATTTGGATTAATGAAGGGGGGACATCGACGTCACCGGACTCCTCCCCCCTTCCCTTCGTTAGCCGTCACAGACATCGATGTCACTGGACTCCCCCCCTTCCCTTCGTTATCCGATGGAGCCACTTGGGGACATCGACGTCACCAGACTCCTCCCCCCTTCCCTTAGTTAGCCGACGGAGCCACTTGGGGAAGGGGGAGGAGTCCGGTGACGTCGATGTCCGTGACGTCACCGGATCGCCAACGGGACTCCCGGAAGCCGGCGGAGAGGTGAGTGTTTTCATTAGCGCTCAAAATAATTTTAATCGATCAAAAAGTTTAACGATTAATCGAGATATTAATCTTTAATTTCCACAGCCCTACTTTTCGGAAATGGGTATAACTTTTTTGTACATATGGTCCAGTTGGCAGTGGATAGATCAGAGATTTATGTGTCCACATTTTTTTAGTTTGTAACACTGGAGGAGATACTTTGGTCATTTAATGACTACATCTTTTATGATCATGTTACAGCTCATATTGCATGACGCATACTATTTGTCTTCGTCAAATTTGATATATCTGGCAAAAGGGATTAAAAGATCCCAGAACACAACAATCATGCTTGGTTAGACTGAATACAGAAACCTAAATATGGTTCTGCTGAACTTCATTCAACTTCCCATGTAAAAAAGCACAGATTGGAACAATGATCAGAGCTACTGCACACAGTCATGGCTGACTAAGCCAACTTTTAGGTAAGCCTTTAACACTGAGCTATATAAAAATGGCCACCACAAAACCAGCAAGTATACATAACTTACATATGTATAGCTGAGACCACATTTTCTATCCCAAACAATTAATATCTCATCATTCCCAACGGGTGTGGATATAATTTCCAAGGAATATAAAAGATGATATATAGTAACTTCAACTATAGATAGATTGAATTCCATATATCATGTAGCAGTATAGTGGCGGAGAGAGCAGACATACCAGGGGTTAATAGTGAACTGTACAGCCCACACACATTATGTAGTGCCGCTATATACAGTTTCCTGTAACTGCAGGACCTACGCAGCTAAAGATAACGTCGATGTCAGAGGCTTGGATTTGAACCGTGACCCGGTGACTCATGAGTATCTGCCTGCTGAGACCTTCATCTAAACACGGAGAGACTGAAGCTGCAAGACATGGACACATTGGCGGGGGCATTGTATAAAATAATGTTCTCACGCAATCATTGTTCATTCTACTTATTCCTGCATTATGTACATTAACAAGGCCCTCTCTATGTACACATCAAAGTGGAGTTCCACTTATAGAATCATCTCTATTAATGAGATCCAACCACATGGACAAAAAAGTTCTAGGTGCACGCTTATTGTATTTTGTGTTTGGGATTCCATGATGATTTTGGCTTATTCAGAGTTGATGGATCAAAATACCGTATGCCATTGCAACCTATCAAAATGAATATGATTGTTCTGATTTTGGTACAAGAATTCTTTGTGAATGGAATGACTTGTGTAAATGTGGTTATAACTAGCTGATTAAACAGCAAAAGCACTACACATTAAAGGTCACAGACATAAAGTTTCCAGATCAAGCATTTATCAGGTTGATTGGGTGATAATAATAATTGTCTGACCATGTCATAGACCTTGTATTGGTAATTGGAACAGCCAACTGGGCTGTGTGGGAGGAAGTTAATGCCCACCACCAACACAGCGCTTCACATCGGTTCTGGTGGTAATTGGAACAACGTATGAGGAATGTATATATACTGTACATACTTACATACACACACAGTGATTGGGTTCACATTTTTGGGTATTACATGCTATGAAACAAAATACAGTATAGGTTTCAACAGTTATTGGCCATTTTGAAGTGGGCTGGGGCCAGCCATAGACAAGCAACTGGGATATTTCCAGGTAACAAGTGATACAAGTTAAAGAGGACCTGTACTGTGGAATGTGCACCAAAAAAAAGCAAATGACTAGTTACTAGTATTGCCTGTGGTCTCCCTGCGACCGATCTTTTCCCCATTACTGACTAACCATGCCTTGTTCTGCACTGTGTCTCTTTATGGAGGAAACCATCTTAATAAAGGCAGAGCTTTGATTCCTCATGCCAGAGCCTCCAACAAGAAGAACAGTGAGCAGCACAGTGGTGGCATCACCAAATCTCACACCAAATCTCACACCAAATCTCCTGAGATTATCGGTCAGAGACAACAGTGCCTTAGCTCTCACTCTGCAGAAGTACAGATTTCAGGCTGTATGTACAGGGCTGCCTAGGCACTCTGACATACCATGAACTGCACTGCTCTTTTTTTAGAAGGAATTCCAGTCAAAATGTAAATTTTTAGGGTATTGGTTAGCCACAAATAACTACTTTGAGTTCAGGTTCACTTTAACTGGTGTGTTCTCACTTGGTAAGCAAAAAGGAAATTAATACATGCTTATTTGCTGATACTAAAAGTTATATGCAGCCCGCAGTACTCAAATGATGTCACAACTCAATCCATTTAATAAAGCAAATCTCACTAGCAGCCCTCACAGGCATTGTTAGGGAATATGGAGTAGTGTATTGCCAACCTTGCCAGCAGCCATCGGCTTTGTCCTCCAACTGGGTCAGGATGATTGCTGTGTTTAGCAAAATAGCGCCCCTCACAATAATGTTATCTCAACTATCATCAACTTCCTGACATTTTTACTATACCTCTGTAACTGTCATTAATTGCTTTCTCATTTCAAGCTACTTGTAAATTATGTTTTAATGTAACAAACTTTTCTGCTAATTAGAAATACTGCTTCTGAAATCAAGGTCTCTGGTAATGGAAGGGTTAGTAGAACCCATACTGTTGTGACGGGAGGCAGGCAGAGAACAGAACTGCATTTTAGGCATTTTTGGAATTGTTTTCCGGCTGTTCTGCGTATGTGTGTTTGAAATTCCAAAGCTAAATTGTTCATACACATAGGGGAGTCGGAAACAGCCAAAGAAGGATGGAGCCCTGGCTCCAAACGGTCCAAAGAATTTCTGCTAGACAGCTGGAGGGATGGTCACTGGGATGGCTCCTTGTGTGTAAAGAACAGCAAAAGTTCCTGAGAGCCTCATCTATGATAGGGTATTTGTGGAGTTGCGAGAATTAAATAA